ATTTAATATCTTTACGAATGACCCGATCATTGATGGTTAACTAAACTGTGCCAAAAATGTTGATGACACTGCCTCTGAACTCGCTACAGTCGCCTGAAGACTGGAAATGCTACGAAAACGTCGTTGCTACCATCTGCCTTCATTTCTCTAACAACTGGCTCCTTCTCATATCCACAAAGATAACAGAATGAATCCGCGTGATATAGAACATCAGAAGATAGACATGGTCAATCTAGCGACAAAAATCCCTGATAGACTGGACCACCAATGCTTCAAGTACAGCATATCAGATCCCTGTGAATCACGTTGTTCTCTGACTTTTCATGGCATCAATATCTTCAGTCGCTTGATAACCGCTGCTGCAAGGCTATACACCAGCCATGAATACTGCGTGTTACATAAGAGTCGATTAAGACTTGAATTCGCGTTCATCCCCCCTCCACTACAGCTACGCAGCTGCTGTCGTTTTTCCTGGGTTGCAAGAGTGCGACTTTAAGGCGATCTTAAAAGCTAGTCTCTACGCTTAATGCCGTTTTATACTGGGAATCAGCACGACACGTCGCTCAATCAGCAGTTGCTCACACTATTCAGTTGGAGAATACAATTCTGAACAACTCATCTTACTTGCTTCACAATGCTCTTGTGCAGTGTCATTCTCGCAACAATCCACAAAACCTCAGATTGTTAATTTTTTATCTCGGACGAAAACTACACTGAAGAACTATCACCCCAGATTCAGCGTGCTCCTTGCGAGATTCAGATACAGTAAAACAGCACTGCTTGACGTTCCTCAATGTGAAATAGTCATACTACCCGTAGACATTGCAGATTCTCAAATACCACTAAGCCAAGCCAGCTTAAATGCCCCCAAACAACTAGAAGCAAAACGGAGGTTCAATATACAGTGAAACCTGGTCTTGTAGGAGTCATTCGTTATTTGTCACACTCCGAAGAGCGAATAGCTTGATGTTTATGTGGTAGCACATAAAGAACACAAACTCATGAAACATCACACGTGATGAGCGCCAGTTTGCCTTAGCTTACAAAATGATACGAGATACATTTTGCACTGCAGATGCTTAAATACCGTGGCCTGCTAAAATAGACCCTCTATGCAACGAATAACACGAGCGGTGATACGGTGATATATGCCCTGAAATTTGAATTATTCGTTGATAATCGTGCTTTGCATTTGTGCTTTCTATACGTGAATTGACTGTGATAAATAAATTTGAAACCGTGTTTGACGTCATTTGTCTTTCTTATTTTTCTGAAAAAAATGAACTCAACAGTGGCGCCTTTTAAACAACAAAAAAACTTGATCTTCACGGACGTTTCTACCTTAGAACAATTCCAATGCTACCGCTATCCGATGTTTCCAGTTCGGACAAAACATATTCTTGTTCAGAATGACCTTCTCCGGACCGGAAGGAATTCGAACCAGTATCGCTTGGCACTACTGCGGTAACAGCAGATTCCGAGGTCGCTGCTTCACACATTTTCCTTGAGCTACACTGTCATCTCACATTTCTATATTGCAAAAACTTAAAACAAACCAAGAGAACGTCAAAATGGTACCATTTTCACTGGAAATGTTTCACGCACATAACTGGATTAAAACTGAACTTATTTTTCTTGGTTTACACAAAGAATACTGACAGGCCACTGGCGACTTGAAGTAAATTCGCCTTGCCGATGAGTATTCAGACTTGGCTACAGTTTGCACAAAACCTACGGATCGAAAACACGGTAAACTTTTCAATTACTACCACCTTCATTCTGAAGACGATCTGTAGCAGATATATATTTTGATTCTATGATTAAAATCACAAAGAACGAAGCTTTGTTTATTTAAATTTATTTTACGTTCTGATCAACTAAAAATCAGTCCAAACATGACTATTAAAGGCCATTCCTTGTTGATGACCAAATCCCGTCCTTACGGATGTTGAGTGTGCTCAAATAAAAATTGTTCTTTTGATGTGCGACCCATTATCTGTGAAAATATATCTGCACATCGTAACAATTTAATTAATACGAACTTGTGTCTCTGTAGATAAGCAATTCCATATGTGCCTTCAACCCGCAGCACGTATATCAATCCATTCATATTGTATGACTCATTTCGAACATGTCGGGAAAATCTATTCCTAATTCATAGTATGACAAACGACTCGTGTCGGAAAGCCCATTTTAGCTGTTTGTACTCGACAATCGACGTTTTCAGTCATTGACTACGACCCGTGACTGTTGGCACACATGGGAAAAAAGTGTACAAGGACAT